ACTGTTCCATGATTATGTATCAATTTAAGACCTCCATCTTGTCTCTAAAATTACTCACAAAACCACATTGGAAACATTTGAAACTGAATTTCTCTCTCTCACACACACAATATATATATATATATATATATATATATATTATATGAAATGGACAAAGTCTGACAATTATTTTAAGACATTTTTAATCTTTATACATTCTTTTTTACAGATACAAATATTCAAGTAAATGCTCCGTTTATAATAAACAGTATTAAACAACATTTACCGGCCTGAATGTCCGAGAAATTGTCATAAAAAAATGTGTCCTCCGACAGGAATTGGACCTGTATCCTATACGGAACCGTCATATAGCCTGACATGCCTTTACTGATTTCGCCACAGAGGAGCGTTTTGGTTAGCAAGGTCGATTTTACTGTTTTTAAACTATAATTTTCCATGATTTTCTCACATACATTCATATCTGTTCGATGTGTATCCAAATGTAAACAAATGATGTCGCACATTATGAAATGGACAAAGTCCGACAATTATTTTAAGACATTTTTATGTTTACACATTTTTTTTTTTATAGATACGGAGGACACATATTTTCTATGACAATTTCTTGGACATTCAGGCCGGTAGATGTTGTTAATACTCTTAATTACAAACAGAGCATTTACTTAAATATTTGTATCTATGAAAAGAATGTATAAACATAAAAATGTCTTAAAATATATATATATATATATATATATATATATATATATATATATGATATTTGATTGACCTTTTAACAACCTGATGTAATTCACGAACGTTCTCAAATTTAAAAGGCTCAATAAACCAATGACATTCACACCTCTGTATATAAACGCATACAGCAAAATAAACCCTACATTGCCTTGATAAAGTCCCTCAGAGGACAAAACATGCCGACTAAGAATAGTTTTTTCTCTTGCCTCTTTTTATTCATTTTGTCTTCTGTACAGATACACTTCATATGAAAATAATTTACACACAAACATGTGTGTGTGTGTGTGTGTGTGCATAGTGCAATAGATATTCACTCAAAGCACAGTCTTTTTTATTTTTTAATGATTTCAACCCAACAAGGAAATAAAGCCACTAAGATGCAAATGTTTACTGAGTATTAAAGAATATGAGAAAGACAAAACTTAAGGAGAGAAAACAATAAATGAACAGGAATTAAGAAGTCAAAAGGTAATGATTGACATTACATTTAAATTTTTGAAGTTTAAAGTTGACTGGGAATCAAGCAGCTGGAAGAGAGTTCCATAAATGAGAAGTGCAACAGAAGAAACTATCAGCATAGAACTTACTGTTACAGCTCACCATTTCAATTGTGTAATAATTCACAAGTCCACAATTGTAAAGCAGCCCAGTGAGGATCTAACACACTATATGGTAGTAATGGTCAGCTTGAGTAATCAATTTGCTATGCATACATTATATATATCCAAGTTGCAACAGTTATTTAAAGACATTTTATTGTCAGTATATCACTCCCTTTAAATTAATTAAATGTGTTTTATTTCTTTCTGATCCCCCAAAGAAGATAAAATGCTAAATCAAGAAATGAAAAGACTTGAAGTCATTGACAGCTTTCTAAATGCTATAATATCTTTCGTACATAAAGTTCATATAAAATTGGAAACTTCTGGCAGGAATGTTTCAACTGTATCAAATAGGAAAAAATATTCTAAACATTTGGACACTATAATATATAACTATAACATCCATTATCAAGAACAATCCTGGAAAAGCAGTGAGGGTCATTGCCAAAGAACTTCATGTGTCAGAGTGGACTATCAGAACTTTGGTGCATGAAGACGTTTGATACAAGTCATATGAACTGAAGAGAGGCTAGTTCTTATCTGCAAAGACACAGGAAAACAGTTTGATCCATTCTAAGCAGTTATATCACAAGGTTAAGCCTCTTACAAAAATGGCATACTTTGGTTCTTTCATGAGAACATCTTTGACCAAGGCTAAAAGTCTAACATGAAAAATAACAGATCGTTATTTGCTGATCTTTATGATGTCCTCAAGGGGAATGGCATAGAAGAGAAGAATATTTTTTCTTTGTAATCAGCTGCCAATATTTGGATTCTACAAAAATCTGGATCCTTCTTCTGCTAATTTCCTGGTCTTGTATGCCTTTAAATATGGTAGTATATAAATTATTACTAGATCTGTCCCATAATAGCTATTACATTTAGGGTATGAAATGTGTATACAAATGAGGTTGTGTAATAAAATTGAATAATACTCTGTCTCATAATAGTTTATACATTTAGGGTATTAAATGTGTATACAAATGACACAGATATTATGGGACAGATGTTGTATAATAAAATAATACTCTGTCCCATAATAGCTGTTAAATTTGGCATATGAAATGTGCATGCAAATGTTACAGATATTATGGGATAAAGATTGTATAATAAAATAAAACCATCATCCCATAATAGTCCTTACATTTAGGGTCTGAGATATACACACAAATGTAACAAATACAGGATGCGATAGGTAAATTGTCGCCATTTTAAATTTTTAATTTTGCACATGTATGTTGTTTGTTTTTGGTTTTGTTGACTGCACAGCATAGTAGGGTCAGTTGGGCCACTGTTTGTGAGAAGAGCACCTTGATGCAATTCACTCCACCAGGAATTTGGAAATGGCATGCTGTACCACTTGGCATTTGCACCGGAAGCTCTAAGATGAACATTTCAGAGTATTTGGGTGTCAATCTGAGGACAGTACAGAGAATTCAGAAAGCATTGGATGAGTCTAATGTTGATTACAAAGGTATGGCAACTCAGAAAACTCACTCTGATCATTCTGATGAGAAAAGAACTTCCAAATTTGTTGGTGAGGGCCTCAGACTCATCATGGAGGTCTATATTGAGTGCCTTGAGAAGGTAGTGCTGTCCTGGGTGAAGCGGGTGGCTGCTGGAAGACCTCATGTCTGGCAACAGGTCTCTGCACCATGCCACACATGCAGGAGAACACAGTCATGGCTATCAGACTATTTCTGCGACCAAATCACCCCTTATATCTGGCCACCTAACTCTCCAGACTGCAAACCCCTTGATTATTATGTGTGGGGTACAGTTGAGCAACAAAACTCTTTGTAGCACCAAAGATGAACTGGAGGTAAGGATTATGTCAGCATTCACCAACTTAAATAAGGATACTGTCCAGAAGAGTTGCAGGAAATTTCGAAGTCATCTGGAGGCCATCGTTAAAGCCAATGGTGATTTTATTGAATAAATTTACTCTTTAGTATTTCAAGATATTTTTGTGTAACTTTGGTAAATATATCTATTAAAATCAGATGTTAGTATTATTTTCATTTTTGTGTAATTTAGACGACAATTTATCCATCGCACCCTGTATAATAGGACTGAGGTTGTACTGGTTTATTTTTGTTTGCTTATATTTCATAGTTTCAGTAATAGTTAACCTACTTCTTCAGAATATGAGCAGTTAATTAGAATGCAATCTTTTTTTATTGCCTCACAGACTGTCTATGATTCATGGAGAATGACAGTGTTGTGTGTTCCAGAGATTATTTGTACTACTTTTGTTCAATTATTTCTCATTCACCCACCTTTGATCTACCAAACTTTATCATTGTTGTTGTCATTATTATTTATTTATTAGCAGATCTCAGTGGCATGTGAAAACTGTAGATGTCTAATGAGAACAGTAACCACCTAATGAAAAAGAGCACTGCATCAATTCACATTCCAATTTAATGATGGTGCCATGCAGCCCATCAATCAATGTATTACATAGAGCTTTGTAGTTACTGGCAAACAAGGCTGTCATGACTGAGATCACTATTTTGGACAATACATTTCATCTGGGAGAGTGGAAGTTAAGACTGGACTGTAAAAAAAAAAAAGATCAGATGTGTTCTGTTTCTAGATCTGTTTCTACCCATCGTGGCTCCCGCAGACAGTTGACTTCATATGTGGAGATGATTACTGAATTCAGCCTGTCAGCAAACTGGCTGTAGTTCTTTAATGGCATGGGATTTGTTCTTTCAGAATTAACAAGGACTACTCATGAAATATATAATATTCAGGCCCAAAGATTGCTTTCAATATGAAACAGACTGTTTTTTTTTTCATAGTGTGTGTGTGTGAGCGTATATGCATGTGGGCATGCACCCATCTGCATGTACATGTAGAATGCATATGTGTGTGTGTGTGTATATATATATATATCCTTCCTGACAAATCGACCATGGGTCTCATAGTCAGAATGTGAACGCTCTAATCACTTGGTCTGAAAACCATACCAAGGCTTGTGATTGAATTTGGGTAGATGGAACTCTTGGGTGCCATCGATAGCTGTGCTAGAATGAAATCACAAGTCATCGTGGCCGATGGCGTGAACGTGCTGGCCTTGTTCAAATTGTTGATCATGCTAGATAAGATGCTCTCTCTCAGAAACTGTAACTAAGGTCTGCTCAGCATAGTTGCAGTATAAACCACAGGTGGGCTCTGTGGGTGTTGAATAAACACAAATGTGCCTGAGCAAGCATCTGCAAGAGAGATTGGCTAGCTAACCTAGTAAACAGGTATCCTCGAATACAAGTATATATATATATATATATATATATATATATATATATATATATATACACACACACACTAATACAAAGAAATATAGTGTGCTAACCATGCATACACAGAATAGACATATACACAAACATGTGAGTGAGCCAAATATTCACTAATGTACCTGCACATTTCTGTCTAAAAACATGACTATGTATTGAGTAAAGTGCATATACAGAGATGTTCCCACCATAGCTCATTTATTGAAGGTGATTCATGTTTGTCATTTTGATCCCAGATCAAAGGATCAGTAAATAGCTCAACTTCTTCGAATTGCTTGAACAGATTTTGCTAAGGTCATTTACTTCATTAAACAGGCAAACCAGGCCAGAGACATGCAGAGGATAATGGGAGATGTGGACTGAATTAAAGGAAGATGAACAACAAAAAAAGAAGGGAACCAACCAAAGA